AAAGAGTTTAATCTTAGCAGAAATGTAGGAAAAAGTGGTGAAACTGATCTTAATTTTTAGTTAATTAAAAAAAGGATTTAGATACAATATTCAGTTCTTAACTTAGTAGCAAGAGAGGCTGCTGCCCATGTGTCCTAGAATTGTTGATGGCAGCAGTCATGACCCTTTACCATAAATCAAATGCTGTCATATCCCCCTGGGCGGCTGCACTCAGCAGCTACGTGGATTTAATTTGTGAATATGAGCTGGTGAGACTAATGCTCTGAGATCTGATACAAACAGGCTTCAGTGTTTTTACCCATAGAGAGAAAAACGGTAGTTATTCTGGAGATGCTCATGATTCCAAAGAGTAAATGATGGAATTGGTGCTTTTGTAATAAAATGATACTGAAAAACTATGTATCCAGATGACAATCTGAAACAGGCTAGTGAAATCCAGCCTTCTAGGATTCCTGAACATGGGTCCTTTATCCACGGCTACTTCATCCACCTCTCCCTCTTTCATCAGAGATCTAGGTATATATTAACAGAAGAGGGGGCTATTCTGGCAAGTCACTGTATCCACAGTCTGAATTCATGGTGGCAAGTTTCACAGCGTATACAGAGGAGTACAAAATGCATCAGTAAAAAATTTCTGGCTTTCCTTTTCAATATCTGAAGTTCTACAGCTAGCATAGTCTGTCTTGAAGTAATTTAGCTGTCAACAGCTTGTATGCAACTTTTCTATCTCTTGATAAGGAGACAAAGGAACTTCAGTTCTTGTCATTATGCATAAGAAATAACTGTCGTGTCAGCACTTGGTCATGCAATTGTTTTCCACATTATGTGACTTTACATAAATATTTGTGAATTAAATAAAATTTGGAACCTGGTATTTTTTTAAAGAGGCTTTGTTTGTGGCCATATGTCTTCCTCTTTGGAATTATAATTCATATTTTTAGAAGAGAAATATGGTAGTAATGAAAACTTAGTAATTATACATGGGAAAGTGAACCAGCAAATAAGCAGTATGAAGGATAGAATTTTAAATTATAGTCTCTGTAATATGAACTAAAGCTAACAGTCTTTTCACCTAAATTTTTTCTGAGAAAGATTTTTCTCTTAGAATTACCTGGAATTCTTTGTACTGCTGTGCTATGAATATTTAACTTTTGACTTTACCAGTATTGTTTTATCTGATAGTTCCACTGAGTGGTGCTCTTGCTCTGCAGTTGCTAAGTACATTATATTTCTGAGAGTGAATCCACTATAAATCTTCCTCTGAAATAGCTACAGGGACAAATAGTTCTCTGTGTACAAAGTACATTGCAGTAAGTTTGTTTGTTTTTTCTCAAATGCTTGTTTAAATACAAAGTACTTCATCTTGTGACGTTATCCAACAGAATCTTTACTGAGATCTCCAATATTCTAGTTCTTATATTCCTTTATTGTTCTAACAGTGAACAAAATATGCAGTGCAAATGTACAAAAGAATATCATGCAGCTGAAAGTTTTGAGAAATATGCTATTAAATTATGTGCTAGTATGTATCAAGGAGACTTCAAGCACATAAATATTTTATGTCACTTCTTAATCTGTCCCATCTATTTTTTGTTTTACTTATGAGCAGTAAGAAGCTACCTCTTTCCATATTACTTTTGCTGCACTATTAAAATCTGAAAAATGAAACTACTACTAGACATAGCCTTCTTCGAAGGTGAAGGCAGGGCATACAGGAAGCTATTCTTAACAGTGCAAATAAAGACAGTTCTACAAAAGTTCCACAGATATGCAACAGTTTATCACCTTTTTTCCTCTATTGAGATATTGAACCAAATAGTGTAGTGATGGTAGAGAGGAAAATGTCCTCTTTAGGTGTTGTGTGTTGTTGCCTTTTGGTTATCTGGCAGGTTATTGCTATAGATGTAGATCAGGCTTTCAGATTATTTGGTTTTGAACAATTACTGAGATCAATGATTTCTTTTTTTCCTTCTCTTTACATCAGTTTAAGATGAACTCTTGAGTCATTTGGGAAAATGCACACTGCACTGTAAATTTGTCGATGGAAGTAATTGTGGTGGACAAGAGAGGTAATGCATATGAAACTATTTCAACCCTTTCACAAAAGAAATGAGAAGGATTCTCACAGCACTACTAACTCCTGTGGAAAGAAAGCTCAGCTTGTGATAATGTACTTGGTTTTTAACTTAGAAATGAGAAATTTTGTAACAAGTGTCAACTTGGTTTAAGTAGTGTGTGGGATGTTGACTTACCAGTCATGTAAACTCTGTAAAGTAGAACATTTTGAGAGACTTAGGAAACAATCACAGCTTAATAAAGATTCCTTTGAGCATTTGAAAAAAGTTTAGATCTTACATTCAAGAGCTTTCCTGCTGTGCAAGTGAATTTCTTTTCAGTAATGCAATTTTTTAGCTTAGATGGAATTACAAAGGTAAATAAACTAACAGTTCATTCCTGATCTTTCATAATCAGCTGCAGTCTTTCTTACCTATTGCATTATAGTTACTTTGATCTGGACGTCTCCAATCTCAGTGTAATTCCAGAATTAAATATTTGACATGCAATAAAAGCAGCTTTTCTCATTAATCTCTTGGCGTTATGCTAGGTTTGCTTATTAAAAGACATAAAAGGATAAATTTTCTGCATGTGAATTTTACAGAAAATTAATTTGATCTAAAAATATTTTGTGAAATGCTTTTTTAAGAAAATAGGCTATTATGTGCAAACACCTGATTGCTTGAAACTATTTTTCTTTGAGGCAAAGAAATATAAACAGGACTTAACTCATCTTTACCTC